ATTCAGACACCAAATTCAGACCTGGATTAAGCTGAAAAAAGAATTTGAACATACTCGTAGGTGGTTTTTCTACCCTTATATCATGTACCATAGCTATACCTAGTTAGCTGGCATAAAATAGAAATACTGAATCGTTACGTGGAAACCGTTTCGCTGAGTTACCCGCTGACTGCCGTTGGCCCTCGGCCTAACAGGAGGCATATGGCGCGGCCGGTACGCCACAACCAGGTGTCTCGTCATGCGCTCACGCACCCATTGTACACACTCCGCTCCCCGCGACCCTTGCCAACTCTCGGCACAACTCCTCTCACCTCAGAATAAAGCTCAAACTCGTACAACAAAAAACCATTCGCAACTGACCGTGTGGGACAATACCAGCTCAACAAACGCTGTAAGGATGCCAGTTCCACGAGTTTCTCAGACGTCCTAATTCAATGCGATCAGCTGTTCAATTCAGAACAACTTTGCTATATGTGTATTCCTTGCTGACAAAAGGCTGAACGCAAATTAGATTTAAGTATGTCTGGCTAAACCTGATCGAGAGATTGTAACGTACTGAATGAGAACAATGCGGTGTTTTGTTCAAATAAATTGAAGAGGAAAACTGCGATGTAATGGCTATGTCGTTATGCTCATCTCTCGTGTGATAAAAATATCTTGTGGGTAAAGAGATTTCATTGTATTAACTCTAAGGATATTGGAATCTATAATTTTTATAAACACGGGATCTAATAAAAATGTTCAACAAGACTTGATTAGGTTGTGGTGGAAGCCCAGAGTAAAAGATTGATATCTCACGATGACCGAGACGATCTCGCGTCCTCGACGACCGGCAAATTAGTCGCATACAACTGTTATCACAACCGTAGCTATCAATTCAGGTATGCGCGGAAGTCGGTTGTCGCGTCATTGTATAATGGAAACCATGAGACCATGCGTATGTACTCTACTACGCTTGTAGCAAATGGCCGGGCAATTTAGACGTGCATCATTTGAATAAGTGCCAAGTCGACGAGATTGTATGATTAAGCATGTCATCCGAGGAAATTTCAGGGCTTCCTTTGTTAGCTCTACAACTGAAATATTGCGTTTCATGATGAAAAATGTAGAATTTAAGCTAAAATTTATATGTAAAACGTGAATCTGCTTTTACTCTGAAGTTGAAAAACATGCTTTTCATTACCAAGAATTTAGCTGAACGAGTAGTAATTTTATTATCATACTATGCATTGCATATTGCATATATTGCATACATACACAATATGATTTTGAAAATGAAAAAAGTTACTTTACATTCCATAAACATGTACAATAAATACATTTTAAATTTACTTAACAACTTCATTTGTTCAATAGCGTAGCAGATTTTATCTGTTTTCAGTTTTCAGGTATCAACTTTTAAAATAAAGAGGGCACGAGGAAAACTGAAAAACTCTTCTGAAAACTTTGTACATTACATAATGTAAATTTCTAACTACGAGTATAGAGATATTTATATCGATGAAGAAAGTTACCCTCTAGGACTTAATTTATAGTTGTCGGCACCGTTTATCATGTATAATTTCCGCCGTCAAAAGTCAGCCATAATTCTTTTCGGCATAATTAAATCAGAGCAAGTGTTGTATCACCTTAGAAGGGTTGGCTCGGTTTAGGGCGCATTCAATTAGCGATCCTGTCGGCCACCGAACACTTCCGCTTCCGAGCGTTTAGCCGCTTCCGGCGGGGGCGGGCTCCCTGCGTGCCTGTTCTCGCCTGTGCAACCTGACATAGCTCACAGTATTCCTCCAGTGCTTGAAAAACTAAATACTAATGGCATTTTTTAAGTTAAGTTAAGCTAGCACCCATAACACAAGCATATTAATTGCTTACTTTGGGGGCTAGGTAGCGCTATGTGAAATTGTCCAAAGATTTTTTTTTAAATACCCTGACTGACGTGGCTGGTGTGTCTATCATTCCTCGCGTATTGTTTTATTTAATCAACATCCAAATCAAATTAAATTGTGTAAGTTTTATAAGTATCTTCTTTTTGTAAAGAGGCTGCGTGGATTTGCTAGTATCAATGGCTGTCAGAAGTAACGCACGTGGTAACCAAGCAAGTTACTTCAGAAATTGTTTACTTTGTAACTTTGAAGAGTTTCACCAAGAAACCAAAAAAATACATAAGATCTGGAAAATGTTTTCAACTTAACCAGGTCAAGAAAGTTTGTTGAGAATGTTTTCTGCCCAAGGGCAAGCAAGTTATACCAATAAATGATCCGAAAAGAACTTTATTTTACATTTATGACACTTCAGTAGAAAAAACGCAATGAACTTTCGAAAGTTCTTTCTTTCCTGTAGGTAACTATCTGGATTGAAAACGGAATTGGAAATCGGTCATTTTAATACACGTATTTTACTTGTATTACACGGGTAATTAGGTAATATTTAGTATTTAGAATTTCGTGCAATGTCAGTTAGGCTGTTTTAATTTTGCTATGTCCCTGTTCCCTGCAGCGTGTCCCGCTAATCAAGGCGCCGTGAAACACGTTACGTACATTTAATGATTTTTTTATAAAAGTATAAAATAAAACGTGTACATTTTAACGATTGCCCATCATTTGATGAGCGCGGACTGCGCAACTTCTATCAATATTGCTTTTATATCCAAAATTTACTTTACGTAATAAGTACCTATAACGTTAGTAATTACGTTATAAGGTAAATATGTAAATAAATAGGGGAAAGCATTCAAGACTTCAATATGAATGTATTATAAAGTAGGTAAGTAAGTACCTACCTACTTTTAAATATTACTAAAGGAGGTTTACTAAAAGTAAGTAAATACAAAGTTACTTCAAAATAGGTGTCCATTGTTCAATTCCAATTGTATTCCAGTTGAACAATGTTAGTAATGGACAAGTAAAATTCTTCAGTAACGACGTCTTTTCATATTATTCAAGCATAGATTGAAGATACAATCTCATTTGTATTTTTTTAATGTAGAGGGAGCAAAACAGATGTGGGTAATCGATAGCTTTTCTTCTTCTGATATTTCAAAGCATAAACATCAAAATGGATTAGGAAAATAAGTCATTCTATGGTAAGTTGATGACTTAATGAGCCATTAACTAAATATCAATCAGTAGCTAAGTAGAACACTTGAATTGAAGAGATATGATGATGTTGTTTCTTACGATAAGTGACAACCACGGAACAGAATATGTTCGTTACACGTGTACGATGCCCTGAAACTTTTTTCAGGCAACGTGTATTTTTTCCAATATTATTTCAGCTTCGTTGCGATGCCCATTTACGTCATAGCACGGGTTATTATACGAATGCTCATTAAACAGAGATCTAGATATCGATGATTGCCAGTCCACTGTCATTTGGTAGCTTTGTCAAACCTTGATACACTATGGGTGAGCATTATGGTGTATTGTGTCCACTAATAATTATTATTGCTATTGACTAACCGCTGATACACCTATCATAGAGCACTCATAATATTTGTATTTGTAGTTTGAATATTAAAATGTAACTTCAGCGAACAAAACTTAAATAATGAAGCGAGGCGTATCATAAAAATAAAACTGGATGAGCTGCCGTTAACTCTTTCTATATTAAATGTCATTTAATTTTATACCTTGAGCACGCACTCAAAGATAACAGAAATAATAATATTATCGTTGGTTTATTATCACTTGCTATCGAAAACTAATCAACGCGAGATAAAGCATAATTTAGGAAGATTTTGATTACATTTAACCTATTTTATTCTATTATTTCCGTTTATGTAGGTAAGGCCTGATAAAAGTGTGACGGTAATTGTTATTTCATTACAATTATAATACCTTTAATGAATGATTTTATCTAAAATTCACTAATTGTCGTAATAATTATGTTCCAGTGGTGCTTCGCATATGTTCACAGAATTGACCCCCCGTGGTACTGATTGTAACACACGCGTAGTCTTACAATTTTTTGTCGGTATTTGTGCGCCCGCGCAACGTACAAAAAACGGAGCCGAGCAAAAAACGCTCCTTTCCCAAACAGCTGAGCGATAAACGCCCACAGTGAGATGCGACCGGGATCAAAATGAGCGTAGTAGAAAATGGAACCCAAAAATCATATACTCATATTGATTTTTATGATCAATTTTAGCGATCCGGATTTCTTTCTACCGTGGTCTGAAATATCGCTGTTTCGCCCATAAAAAGTTAGAAATCACATAAATGTAAAGTGACGTCTCTTCCAACAAAATCCTTGTAGCAATAACTACATAGGTAGGTAGTCAACCCTTCACTGTGTAAATAACCCTAATCTTTGAGATTAACTCGTTACTTATCCGCATGTGTGTAACATTTTAGACCTTGATTGCACTTAAATAGACTCAAAAGTGGATTCATTGAAAACATTATAATAATAGCGATTAGTAGATGATGATATTATGAGAATCATGCAACCGGCTATTACAGTCAAATAAATAAAGGTATCTAATTATCTTTTGATTATTATTATGGTAAACAAACAAAAAAACAACTGTAGATTTTCGGAATAGTTGGATAATTTTAATATTATTAATTTGGTGATTGGTTGTCATTAAAATAATATTATTTGCAAATAAAACTTCTTAGTAATTATTGGAGAAAGTACATCAGGAACATAGATCACAGTCATGATAAAATTGTACATAATAAATGTAGCTGTGAACTATAACAGCCGTTGTGCAACCATGGTGTCTAGGAAATTTCCCGTTTACAATTTATGAAAATGGTTTTATTTTCATACGGATACTGAAATATGAAAAACTATGAATCTTACGAATTTTCATAAAGTGTAGGATAAAATACATTATGAAATTATAACGTTTAGAAGATGAATTTAATTGCCAATCAAACTTTACGGGTAATACAATATAACAATACCTAGAATATCTCTGAATCGTCACAAAGATGATATAATATTGGTAGCCTTCATAAAAATATTATTAAAAAGTTCATAAATAAAAAAGTTCGTACAATCATGGGACTGACCTGGCGCGAGGTTCCCCCTGGGTTTGGCGCCGAGGATGGCGAGATTGACGTTGGCTTTCCTCCCATCGATGATGGGGTTCGGGTCCTTGCAGGCGCGCTCCGCCGCCGCCCGGTCGCCCATTATCACCTGGAATTGACACCATTTGTAATACACTTCGCACTTTTTCAAGAACTAGCCTATTACCTTACAGCTGTATCCTACAGCTAAGAGATTGATTTCAAAAATTAATTAAAAATAACTGTCACCCGCTCAGAATGTCATAAAGGTATTTGTATTAAAGTTATTGCAATGAGGGTTTTCGCGTTTGAAAAATCCGCCAGATGGCAATACGTAGACGCGAGGTCCAAATGCTGCGTGATTGGTGGATTTTGACATATCTGTCAGTGTCATGTCAAAAATAACCAATCAAACCAACGCGAAAACCCTCATTCACGAAGGCGAGTGAGCTTTACATGTGTGGTGTGGTGGCTCGCTACTGTTCGATTTTCAAAAGTTTTGACAGACATTACACTATCGTTATGTGCATGGACACGTACACACACAAGAAAGCTCACTCGCCTTCGTGAGTTGCAAGAACTAATTATACCACACAAAAAGTAAAAATTCATCATTTAATTTCGTTGTAAATAAAAATTCTTGGTAAGAATGAGTGTATTTTAACCTGAAAACACATTCATACTGATCGTTAACGCGGAAGCCATAATAAGTAATCTAAGAAAGTTTTTGGCAAACGTTTTGTGATTAGTTCAAAGGAAAAGAAAAAATGCGAGAATAAAGAAGTAAATCTTCCAATTGTAAACTAAATACTACTTTATGTCAGTGCTAAGAACCATCGGACTAAATTAATAGCGTTTAAAGAGAGATGGTGATTATGTGTCGATAGCAAAAATAAACAAAATGAATGAATTCGTAAAAACTCGATACTACTCGTATACACGTGTTGTAACGAATAGCAGATACAATCAATTTCTTGCGCAAGCACATCAACATATTTTCCGATCTTATTTATTCGACTCTACAATTCAGCCGACAGGTATGGTATAGTTTTGCTTTATAATTTGGTTCTGAATCGATTTAAATACGAAATAACATAATATATCGGTGGGTGACGTCGAATCAGCATTACCTATTGTAATGCATGCGTGATCCGTAGGTCGGCACCTCGACAGTTCCACCACCGGCGACCGGCGTTGCCTGACCTCCCTCGTACCCTCGTCGCCAAACAAAGCAAGACGACAAAAACAAAACACAACTGCCTCTGCTAGGCCAAGTTAAATTGGCCATTTATTTAAACACACTAAACAAACCAGCAGAACTAAAGCAATGCACGATGACCTCCAGATACGATTCGGTCGCTATTCGAAATTCAAAACGTTATCCTTAGAAATGCAGCGGCAAAAATAAATTAGAGCAAAAAACGATTTCTAATAGAATAAGAAAAAATAAATAAATAATGTGCATTTGTAATCGGAATAAGTTAAAAAACCTCTATCTTTAGAGGACAAAAAGGTCAAAAGATTGCTTCATATTCATAGACACGATACACGTTTTTATTTTTTATACCTACTTACATTCTGACAATTTATTCAATAAAAAATATCATACATATTTATCCCAGGAAACTGTTCCTGAAATAAATTCCATTTTATTGAGTCACTGTTACAACTACTGAATTTCTGTTTTAGCACGCACCCAAAGCATTTATAAGAACTAGTATAATGGATTTCTAATCAAACTGTAGTGTTGTTTAAACCATACAAATCGAAATTAGGCACGGCATAGCATGTGTAATGAAAGCAACCAGTAAATTAAATTTCTTTTTTGTTTGGTTTTTTATCTACTTTTTATAATGCCTATAGCAGTTTCTTGTTTACATACTTAACCTACCTATGTTAATAGCAACACTTTGAAAAATACAATAAAATTAGATTTGTAATACTGCTAACAAAAGACAATCGCAAACGCAAATTACAAAATATCAATGAAGTGTAAAGGTGACTATTAGAGTCAAAGGCAAGGAAGCAAAGTTATGAGGTATTCGACCAAATTGTCTCTTCGATATCGACGATTCTGAGAACTCAGTACCTCTAGTAGGAAAAACTTTCGAGTTCGTTTCGTTGCGTATTCAAAGTGTCATCGAAAAATTTTGTATGAAAAATTAAACAGCGCCCCCTAGGGCGGCTATAATATAGGGGGCGCTGTTTAATTTTTCATACAAAATTTTTCGATGACACTTTGAATACGCAACGAAAAGAACTCGAAAGTTTTTCGTACTAGAGGTACAGGTCCACAACTCGCCAGTATCGATTCGCCTAACTGGCCGACTTTGGTGTAGCCCCACTTTTACGATATTATTCATCGATATCGATTGTGATTGCCCTACTCTAGCAATGTCAAGATCTTGTTATTTTAGGGCATTTATGAAACGATAAAATTTTCCCTTATACGAGACGAAGAAGGGTTGGTCGAGAGAGACATTTTGTTTTATAAAAGAATAATTATGTATAAATTTTTAGATTGTGGCTTTAACCAATATTTCAAGCTTGAACCCAGTTTTGAGCGTCAGCATCAGCAACATACTTAAGTATTTTTTACAATCAACAATTTCACCGCTAAGTTGTCATCCAGTTAGTTCCCAAAAGGATGAAAGTGGTGTTTCGCTGCTATTAATCATGCAACGGTATTGTCGTAGATAAACACACGTTACGCCACTTTAGGCCTATCGCAACTTCCTGCCCGCGGCGCTCGTTGCTCAAAAATTTGCATAATTGCTTCAAAATACTCCGAATCCCACTTTCAACCTTTTTTATCGACTCATAAACAAAATTACCGAACATCTTCTTTGAGTGACAAGTGATAATTATTTTTTGTAAAAATGCAGGTGCCGTATTAGCAATGCGCAATACTAGCCCTGAGACAAAACCTTTTTTTAACTAAATGGAAAATGTCCCTATGGTTTTCATTGTATCCTAATTTCGTTCTTCGTCTATCTACGTATAATTATGACTTTGTATAGCATGGAGAATCGGTTCAATTATGCCTTAAAGATATCATTAGCCTCACTAATCTCTTCAAACCTGAATATTAATATAAAATTGCTTACTACTCGTACACGTAATATCTAGTCTAATAGATAGATACCCACTTCAATTACATAAATTACCTACATCATGAAATATGTGTGAGTAACTATATTTGTAGAAATATCATGTTTACTAGACTTAAATCAACATTCGTAACACTGTAACCGTAATCGTAACGCTACGAAAATGGTAGCATCTAACATTACTATTCGCTTGATTGCGCCTTGATCTATGTTATTCATCTCAACTGTCGCAAAGATCTACGCCGTAGTCTCGTAGCGAGTAGGCGTGCCGAAACGCGGGCCGCCCAGTCGTGCCCAATTGAACTGCCACGCCTTTGTAATGAAAACCAGCAATTAATTTGTATTAGTTAATCGCTGACTACTTAATCATTTATACATAAAAGAATATACCCCAACTTGTAAGGTGTGACAAGCTTGTGTGGTAGAGGGTGATAGCGTAAATGATAATATCAAAGCGAAAAAAAGGCATCACAAAGTAATGCACTACAAGTTTTAGCTTTAAAATAATTTCAACCAAAGAGCTTCCTGAATGGCTGAAGCTACGGCCATATATGTATTCTGCCTCACTCGAAGAAAGAGCTATGGTTTGTTGTTTCTTAAAAGGTACTTATTAATACTTATTTCCACTCCCACATTGCAAGTAACTTGAACTTAGAGTCAAAGGGCTTGACTTGCTAGTTTACGATTAAAATACGACAAAAAGTTATCAGCAAACATTGTAAGTATAGTTATTGTCGATCTACGTAGTGCGTTACTTGACCCTGATAGCAAGGTAATATTTGTTGCTATACCAATATATTTGTGAAGCGATTACAGTTTCGTGGTACCAGACTGATCCAATTAGGTACTGTGCGTTCATACTTATTTATTTTTATTAAATAAGCTCATTGATAAGATAATTTTGGCTTCCGAGACGTTGTTATCTTTGCCAACTTTTAGATTTCACAGTTAGTTCAAATATCGAAAATTTACGCTATTGTTTACAAATTGCCATCACAACACATAATATTTACTTTTATCTATATTTAATTTATACAATAACAATATAACATAACTTATGTAATTTTAGGAATATGAAGTTGTGCTAGTAATAATAAGTAGGTACTTGTGCGAATAGACTTCTTGTTTTTAATTAGAAAATAAAATGACTTTGTGTTCAATCCATTACTCGTTGTATTTTTTATATTTTCTTAAATAACCTATTGAATTCTACAACATATAAATATTTCGAACTATTGCAAAGAGATTCCTAGAACTCGCCAGAGATGGAGCCGATAACCCTCAAATCGGCGTAGAACCGTTCTGTGGCATTACCAAACAACTAGCCACCACGCTACTAACCGCCCTCTGCAAACAAGAGGCTATTGAGTGGTGGAAGTCTACATCGGGACAAAAACACTCAAAAGCACTCATTCAGGGATATAGCAACAAAGTAACTAAGGAACTGCTAAAGTTCAAAAGATACAAAGCCTGTGCAGTGACTAGAATACTAACCGGCCACTGCAAACTAAACAAACATAAATCAAACATGAACATGACCGAGGAAACTCTGTGCAGATTCTGCCATACAGAAGAAAACACGGCCATGCATGTTCTTTGCTCATGCTTCCCGCTTATGAGCAAAAGAAGTATCCATCTCGGGCGACACATCATGCACCCGGATGAGATAGCAGATATCACGCTCCAAAGAATCTGGAAATTTATAGACTCAACGGGACTAAGCAGTGAACTCTCAAGACAAGGGCTGCCACAATAGATCAAACCAGTACCTCTAGTAGGAAAAACTTTCGAGTTCGTTTCGTTGCGTATTCAAAGTGTCATCGAAAAATTTTGTATGAAAAATTAAACAGCGCCCCCTATATTATAGCCGCCCTAGGGGCCGCTGTTTAATTTTTCATACAAAATTTTTCGATGACACTTTGAATACGCAACGAAACGAACTCGAAAGTTTTTCGTACTAGAGGTACTGGTCGAGTTGGCGCAAGTAAAGGCCCAAAAACCAATAATAATAATAAGAGATTCCTATTTGGTAATTATGACAAGTTTTTATTACTGAAGGAAATTGCCTTTTCATACGTATTGTGTTTTTAATAAAATCAGTATTATTCGATATATTTAGTCCTAAACTAAGTAAAGTTACGTTAATGATTAAGGTAGGTACTAACGCTACCAGTCACATCCATGACAAATGATCACCACTGTCACGTATTGACAAATTATGGGAATCAGATGATGAATCGCCCATTAACGCAATGGTTACAGTAAATTAATGAAAAATGTCGTTGTCAGACCGTAATTTACGTAAAAGAAATTAGTTTCGATAAGCATCGTCTTTAACATAAGTCCTTTTGGATGACCTGACAAGACATTGTTTCTTGGGGTTAATGTTTTCTTCAAGTTGACACAAACGATTACTTTCGGTAATGTGTTGTTCAGCAGAATAAAATATATCTCTGTTCCCAGTTTATCTGGTGTAAGTACCGTGCCTATATCGTATAGAGAAACTCTACGACGCAATTAGGTAGGTACGACCGAATTCTACAGTAAATTTTTCTCTTAGTTCGCCTTTTTCTTTGGTCGTTGTCTTCATCTACCGCCGCTAGCTTGCGTTCTTGTTATAATTTGAGCATCGCGTCTACAAGAAATAAATATTGTTTCTTTTTCATCTTTATAAGGTGCCAGTTACAAAAATATGTTTTATGGTGGAATAATACTGAAGTAGGATAGGTAATTCAGTGTGACGTAAGTCGTCAGTGGCGTGATAAGCAGAAGTATGGCTGCTAAGTTAGTACTGTGATCTAAATCCGGAATCAAATAACATCAACTTTTGAAAGAACTATGGAAAAAGAAATCAGGAAAAGCCTACAAATGTAGTAGCCCAGGAAAACTATTATTTGACTGCCACTACAACTCTATACAATTGGCTTCATAGTTTTGTGATGATAATGATAACTGTATGCAAATTCTAATTCACAGGTCACAATATATGAACTACAATGGCGCGATTTCACAAAACAGCTGGTTTCTATGGAGCCTTAATATAATGAGCTGTATCTAACTGGCAATAGAAAGGCGTCTTAGCGTTCCGCAGCCCGCACTGTATCAGATGTCACTCTTTTGTGCCCTCAGAGTACTTCATCACGTTCCGGCGAGGATTGTCCTCCGGGGAGGCTGTTTCACAAGGACTACATCATGTTGTTTTACATTGCTATTGACCGTACAAAGGTTTATTGATTAGATTCATAAAATGACCTTATCGTTTGGGAGGATGTTTGTATTAATTTCCTTCAAAGATTTTTTTGAAGATGCAGCTACTATTTTCTAACTAGGAGCTAGCTAACTATTAGCTTTGCATAAACTTACCTACTTGACGTACTAAATAGTGGATGTAGATGTTGTTTAGAAATCGAAAGAGTAGAATCTAGGAGCAGAATAGAAGATTCTTGCTCCGGTTTTAAGTTCCTCTTTAAACTTGCCTACTTTATATTCCATTTATGAAAAAATTGCATCATGCACTGCTACCGCGTGTGCATTGATACCTGTAATTACTTTGTCCCCTTCGAACACAACAATAGAAATATTGATTTATGTTTTTTTCTGCATCGCAGGTTTAAGTTCGACGAGGGCAGATGTACATTTCTTTCGGTTTACAAACACTAAGTTATATATCATGCAGATTGCTGAGAAAATTGGGAGATGATGAATTCATTTACTTTAGAAGGTCTACTTAAATATTCACCATCATCGAACTCTTCATCAATATCACGTAAGATCTAGCCAGACAGATACGACAAACAATATTTACACGCTGCATGATATACATAGTTATTTTTAATTATGAATCAACACATACGCTCTTTTGGCTACGAAACATTGGATGGTTTCAAATATGTAGTGAGTACACTTTCTCAGTATGGTGAATTGAAAATGTTGCGAACGCATTGCGATTATTACAGCTATTTGGATGTCACAGGAGGGTGCAGGGACAGCCACCCCCGGCGTGCCCGACCCCAGCAAGAATTGAAAATAGGGTTGTGATTCATTTCCCACGAGCCCTGTATGTTACGCGCAAAGAGCCACCAACTTTACTACGTTTCAGACTCACGATATAATTTTAGTAACCATTTGTTGCGTCTATAGATGTTTTTGAATAATTTTGAACACATTGTTGAAGAATATCATAGAAGCTTTGGAAAATATGAAGCTTTTAAGATTTTCAGCATCAATCCGTGACAACACAATATTTGAGTAGAAAATATAATCAAGCCAGAACGCCAGCTTTGTTTAGTTCGCTACGTCAGTCACGGCTTTTCAGTTTGTTAGCAAAATATTTGGTCAAAAGCTACAGTTTGTGGGTTTCGCAGTTTTCGGCCTCGTTAATCTAAACAACTATTGTTAACCCCATCAAATCGTTCTATTATGAATTTGGTGTTAGTTTACGATCGCACACACCTGCATAAAGCCGACTTCCTTGTTTGATGTAATTTTGCGATACAGCTCGTACGCATAGCACCGCGTTAGGTATAGTATAGGTATTGTCGGTAGCAATGAGGTGCGATAACGCCAACGTGCGATACGTACGCCTGCTGTTTCAGGCCGACGCGAGTCGGCTGCGCGCGGGCAACACAATACGTGTCAATAAATAAAGAAAGGTTTCTTACGAAGCCATATCCTCTGCTCTTGCTGGTCTGTCGGTCGGTGATGACGACGGCCTCCTCGATGTCGCCGTACACCGCGAAGTGTTCCCGCAGGCTCTTGTCGGTGGTGTGGTATGGAAGCCCTCCGACGAAGAGTTTGGTCCAGGTGGTGTCTTTCTGTCCCGGGAGCGCGCTGAGGGCCAGGAGGCCCTCGGGCTCGGCAGGCAGGGCGCCCGCCATCAACATTCCTTGCACAGCCTCCGTCGCGGCGGCCACGTTCACGCTGGGCACTGTCACTGCCGCTGTCGCGGTGTCAGTCCGTTGACTGGCGGAGGTTATGCGTTGTAAACACTGGAGCGTGGCGGGAGCGTGCGTTCGTCGTGGTGGTTCCGCGCGCACTGGCGAGGAGCGTTGCTTGCGGCGCACGTGGCTCCGCGGCACTAATTTTAGCCCCGCGCCCCCCCGCCGCCAGATGCGACGCCGGCCACATGCGCCGCCGGGTGCCCTACTGCTTCACTGGTGCTACCCTCCACTCGTAATCATATACCTCGTTATCAGCGTGCGAGCATGCTGAGAGCCTACTGATATCTTCTAATCGTCTAAAATTTCTGAATATCAAATTACCTACAGGTAGACAAAATAAGGGAGCATTAATTATACTCGTAATAGGCGCTGGGTTAACAATTACACAATCTGAGAGAGGCCACACAATAACAAATTGATTTTTTTTTATATGGGTAATTACAGTCCCATTATACCTAATAGTCAATAGTCATACTAGTATAATAAATTAACTTCCGGTTATGAAAATAAATATTTTCATTGTAAACATAATTAATGTACACGTAAGAGTTGCGTATATGCCCACAAAATATGAAACATCAATTTTATTTACTCATGAAGAATATTAGTTGCATTTATATTTTTCAGGTGCATTATTTACATAATCATAGATCACTTTTGTCTGTTTTTTCTGTTACAAATTTTTAAACTAAGTAATTACAATGATAAATATACAAAATCTGTTCAAAACAATTTATTGAACTTTTATCTTTCTTAATTTCTTAGGTAAAAACAAAACTTGTTTTCAGGAATTACTTTCAGGATCAGTGTCTCAGTGGATATCGTTTCCAGAGACCTTACCATTACCAGATTAGATAATGCAGCTAAAATGACGTAACACAGCTCAAAACGTGAAGTGTCATTGTAAACAATCCCACAAGCAGGTAAACACGACGCCACGCGGCGCAGGAAGCCGCGTGCGCGGGCGCAGGCTGTGGGAAACGCATTGTCCCCGCACCGAGTGTGGAACCGATCGCTTCCTCCGCTCGACTGTTGACGATATATCACCAGTTTTGATGCTCCGATTCCATAAACACTTGACACTTGTAAGTTTAAAATCGTCATCTTAAATAGAGTGGTTCAACCCTGTGGTTGACTAATGCCAGTTATCTTTAATCAATCCTTCGTCAACTCCGTCCTTCAACTGTCAAATTTCATTGTTTTTGGTCGATATACCTACGGTTTCCGATGTTTTTACATTTTGATTTTCTTTTACATTTTGAGAACGTCAACGCTTACAACCTTGTCAAAGCATCTAACGCTATCGCAACGTTTTTAATACTTTAGCGATTGTTAATAGAGAATAGAAACGCTTTGGTCCTCATAGAAGGGTGCGTTACCGGGCGGGGGTCGCGGGTTCATTGATCGGGCATTGTCGAGGCGCGTGCGCCGACAGCTGGCCGCCCTAGTCGCAGGGAAGCAGATGGCAGATTTTTGAAAATTATTTTTTATTTAGAAAAAATGGTTTCGCTTGTGCTGGGTGAACGAGTTTCAATGGCCGACGCTGACTCGTTGTATGGTAAAATCTAATTTATGCCACAAGGAAAGACGCAGTAGTAGTCAACAAATAAAATCTATGTTTAATAAAAGTAATGCTAGAATAGCGTTATAATAACAAAGTTATAACAAATAAACATTTGAGTCTTAGCAGATCTGAAATCCGCAACCGCTAGCTTTTATAATGCTCATGAAAAAAAATGTGGCATAGAGTGGTTATGATAGAAAAACCAGTATTACCCAAATTCTGCTTTCGTTTTATTCAAATTAAATAATAACATATTAAAAAAAATTAACACTGGTTTTCTCAATGAAGAATACCTTCGCCTAAGTTCTAAATAAATATGTCTAAATAAGCATAAATTGTAGTCACATATGAATACTAAGCATGAGCCGTCAACACTGCATAAATCGCAATAAAAATTAAACAAAAGTCTTGTCAAGTTGGATCAATAGCACGTGACGCGGTCCCCACTCCCGCGCAAGGGTGATTCCAACCCCTACCGCACAGCGCAATGTGTGTGCATTACCATAACGGGGATGCCCGAGCCATGATGCTTGGTTTGATCGATAGAATTCATTTTACTGTCGGATGAGCGTCATTTTGATCAAGATTTAATCAAATGAAAATAAGTCTGTCAAGGTTCGGAGATTATCAAGTATCATCTATACCTTCTTTTTTTTTATCCACAACGAGGAAGCTCTTGGCCTGTATCTCACCTGATGGTAAGTGATGATCAGGCCGAAGGTGGAAGCGAGCTTCACCCGGAATCCTCAACCACGGAGAAACTGGCTATCTTACCTCTAACTGCCGGAACACAACAATGCTGTTAACATTGTCGTTATGGCGACAGACTTAGGTAAGATGGTGGTAGCTAGCCAGGCGGACTTAGAACAAGCCCTACCACCAACCAAACCGAACGGAAAAATCTGCCCCCACTGGGAATCCGGACCCGGGACCTCTGCGTCTAAAGTAGGTGGTCTTACCACTAGACCACAGAGGCGGTTAAAAACCTAATCACCCTACAGCCAATAGGGACGGAGCAGTAAAGAAAGTTATTCAAACTATTTTCACGCGTACGAAGTCGTCGCGGGCACAGCTAGTCTATTAATTATTATTTAATAAAGGAAATAAGGCATATTTTTTCTGTAGGTAGGTATAACATGTTTCTTCCTATATTGTTTACATAGAGATGGAGGTGTTTTGTGAAAAGTTATAGATCCAAGTTCTCACTTTTTATTGAAGCGCATTCATTAATTGAACATCAACGCGCTCTACAATTTTAGACCTCAAAATAATATTAAATCCGAGATGTCACGCACGAGATGTAAACATATGCCACATATCCGAACACTAATATTCATAATTGTATTTTAACANCAATTATTGCTACTTTGTAGCAGCTTTCGTAGTTTCGTAGCCCGTAGAGGTTCGTAGCAATATTGGCCGAGTCCGCAGCGAAATTAAAAAATGAGTAGCACGAACTAAATGTATGTTATAATATAATATAATAATTACAAATTATATTCTTAGGTATGATTTGCAAGTAGTCTCAACATTATACAGACTATCGTATACCCCACACCACAAAATAGATTCCTATAGAAAAATTACATTTAAAGAAATGTTGAATGTTGTATTACCTGTAAAGGCATAACTTTTATATTTGAGCTCTTATAAAATGTAACAATGCACTTGAAATGATATGTTGGTCAATCTCTATCAATAAATAAATTAGATTAGTAAACGATTCACAGTCTAACCAAAATAATGTGAATTCACACAGCTTCATGCGCCAAAAGTTTCATGAAAAAGCTGTAAGTTTTTTTTTTGTTAGGAATGAGACATCTCTACATTTCTCATTGAATAATTTTGTCCGTAACACTGTACCGACTTTCTCGAGCAGGAGAACAAGAACCTACGCTAGCGTTGTCTGAAATGTTCGAACGAAAACAGAGATGGCGCTATTAGTATCACACAGCGGGAAAATATTGATCCCATCAAAAACAATACTTGTCAAAAAAACCAAGTCTCGCAACTCAGTTGTTCTACGGTAAAAAGTTGTGAGATCCATGTAATACCAAGTCCAGGCCAGGAAATCTTTAACGTTTTACATAAATATATTGACTTGGCCATCGCACTAAATAATTTAATTTACACGTGTTTTCATGCGATGACTTTTTACCGTAGAACAACTGAGTTGCGAGACTTGGTTTTTTTGACAAGTATTGTTTTTGATGGGATCTCATTTCTTTTTGTATTTTGTAGACAGCAGTTATGTATCTAGAAAACTGGACCGAAATTGAAAATTATGTATCTAGAAAACTGGACCGAAATTGAAAAATTTTACTCGACTTGGCGGTTGCACTACCGTGCCCCCAAATCTCATTTCTTTTTGTATTTTGTAGACAGCAGTTATGTATCTAGAAAACTGGACCGAAATTGAAAAATTTTACTCGACTTGGCGGTTGCACTACCGTGCCCCCAAATATTTTAGTTTTTCCTTGATTCATACACCAAACACTACTTATATTCTGCCGTGCCCCCAGATATCAGCTTTTATGAGTCGCAAGCATTGTTTAGGATGCAAACAAATTTTTCCATTGTTTTAATTAATATGTACTGTATGGTGCTACGAGATACATTATAAAGATGAAAAGATAATGTAATGATAATTAATATTTTAAGACAGGTATATAAGTAGGTAATAATAACCCTTCCGCCGTAGTCGGGTGTTTTAAATACCAGTACATATTATTAATATTCATAATTTGTTTCTGTGATTCTATAAGCTGTGATTTCTTATCAATATACGTAGTTAAGATTTTCTATGTTGATTTCCTTTTAAATACAGACATTGTTACAAATTCATGTTTTCTTTTATTTCATTGACTTTCTGACAGTACTAAATCTCATTATGTTAAAGAATAAATTCAATGGGACGAATCCAGAACAAAATCGCACCTTCAGCCACCCTAAAAGCTGTCTGGCAAAGTGAAGGAACGAATCAAGTGTCTGGCTGATGAGGAAACATCATCAAATTATAGCTCAAATATTATATGCAGTATGTAAATAACAGTTTTTATAGTATGCCGTAAGTAGGATCACGTAGGATTTTTTCATGAACTTTATGGGTGTCTGGCGAAGGGTTGCCACGATGCCCATGATGGTAGGTGTCTGTCTGTCAATGAATGGCGTTATTTTTAACAATACCTATTTTGAATTAAATATCAAAAAATCTACCTTTATAATTTGACGTAGTATTTGGGTTGGTATTTTACACACCTTTAGCACCGTCTGTCTGCCAAAGCCACGATAACCCAAACTTCATGTTTGGCCATGGCATGGTTCTAACCAATGTTGGGAGCATGCGCTGACAAACTTTCAGCCTTTATAAAAAAAAACGCTATGCATACAACTGATACAACTAACTCTCGATGGTTTATTAAGTTTTTTGGATTGTCAAATATTTAGATTAAAACATAAAAATTATCGTGATTTTTTAAAATACACATAATTATTTGTATTACAGAGAGTCTCATCTACAAGTTATAGAGGAGATAATTTATTTTACACATAGCATCGGGTCCGTTTGCCAACAGTAGGCTGTCTACTTACTTATTTCTATTCTTTTAGAATAGATTTTCTTGTTAATTATAGTCTTATCTATTGTAGGTAAGCTTTCATTTCATCCATTATTATTAGACCTTTTAACATTAACACCAGTAAAAAACCTAGTAAGTTTACTAAAGACCCAATATACTGAACTGTCCTACCCGTCGTGACATTGACAGTGGGGCGCCACCGTCAATAGCGGATCGGTGGTTCCGTTTTTTGCCATGTTGGAAACTATTAGTTGAACGATGGTGGCACCCCCCTGTCAATGAGTTTAGTGGGACAGTTTAGTGTAGGTATATTTAAAAACTGACACGTAATGCCCCTTTTTCTAGTTCTCCATCTAGTTCTAGTTTTACGCCCGTTTCCCTTATTCAACCCTTGTCCAAATCCGGATATCAACTTTCAAATTGAATTCAGTTTTAATTAAATATCCACAATATTCTATGCGTTTACACTTTATATTGTTTAAATAGTCTTTTAAACAATATGAAAATGTAAAAACATCAAAAACCGCAGATATTTTGACCTAAAACATATTGAAATTTTAGAGTTGACGGGCGGATTTGGATTAGGATTGAATAACGAAATCCAGCATTAGTCGACATCAGAAACCCACAAGATACTACAACATCTTTAAAAAATATTCATAAATCACTAGCGCCCTGAAAATAGACTTCGTTTTCAGTTGAAAAAATGTATTTAGTCAGTTGAATTCATTAACTAGTAGCATCATAGGTTGACTTTACTTTCCAAAATCTACTTGGAAGGTTGCGCTTTGTTATTGACAGCTCATAAAAGTAGTTAATGGAGAAGTTTCCAATTTTTTTCATTTAATAAAACTTGAAATATAAGTAAAACTAATAATATTTGTGAAAGAATCATGAAAATATCTCTACAAATAAAGTAATTTTTCAGCCAGTGTTTCTCAAGATTCTTTCTTAGAAATTTTGTAACCCTTTTTAAAAATATCCCAGACTTGTGGGTCTAGACAAAGTGCACATTTTAATCGCATACCAGTCGAAAAGTGGTCGAAAAGCCTTTTTTTTTTGTATGGAGTTTTGACGGATTCGATTTTCGATTCGATCAAAAAGTGCACTTTGTCTAGACCCACTGGTCATATACAAAAAGAAGAAGACTTTGACATATAGTGTAATTCTAGATCTAGACAACGCGCCAGGGGTGGTAGTAATCATTGTTTTTGAAACTAGAACGGGTGACGTGACATCACGGCACCGCCTATGTTTGAGTTCCACGCGAAAATATGTTAGGTAATTTCTCAGCCATTTCTTGATGGATTTAAAAAAAAACTTAGTACTTATTTAGTTTTGGTCTATATTTTAATCCCATTCAGATAAATACATATAATGTTTTCAAAATCAGGAAACTTCTCAATTGATTGCTATTTACGATTGAATGCATTTTAGACACCTCAAAAACGTCTGTAAGTTCTGTAACCAGAGTTCCTAGCACAACTAGTATTTGTCCGGTGCTTTTAAGCCGGCTTCCTTTAAATAATACAAATCAATCATTGTTCAAATCCGTTTTCGATCAAATATCCATAATTTTTGAAAAGTTCAAAAGTCTTATTTATATTTATTTTTTATTTAAAAAAAAGTCTTTTAGTTACACATTTTACTACATTGGAAGTGTCTTACGCGCAAACTGAAAAAAAACTATAATTATTAGAAATCTCAATATCATTTATGAAGACCTATCCATAGATACCCCACACGTATGGGTTTGATGAAAAAAATAATTTCGAGTTTCAGTTCTACCCCCAAAATGTATTGTTTGTTTTTTCTATTTTTGTGTGAAAATTTTAAAGCGGTTCATCTACTTACCAAATAACAGTTCTTGTAGTTTCGGAAAAAAGCCTGTGACACACGGACGGACAGACAGACAGACATGACGAATCTATAAGGGTTCCGTTTTTTGCCATTTCGCTACGGAACCCTAAAGATAATTATGAACATAGCTATAATATGACAGAAATTATTACTAATGAATATTGAAGAATAAAAAACGCTAATATCATAGATAAAGGAAAATGAAAAGCAGTCGGCTTTTTGGTTTTTCAATCATTTATTACATACATTTATTCTTATTAATTATATTGCATTGCTGCGGGCGGAACTATTTATAGTATAATGCAGTAATTAAGCTTCGTAGTTTTATTTTCATATTGTTGACCTTCATTTTGCAACAAACGCGCATCAAATTCGCATGATTTTTATTTTCTTTTCTTTTATTTGTTCAACAATGTATCAACGGTATCTTGCGCTGCCCGCATCCGTACTTCCCGCGACCTTCACCAGATCGTCGGTTCACCTAGTAGGAGGTCTGTTAACAGTGCTCACACTATGTCTTCCGGCCCGTGGTTGCCACTCTACTGAAGAACTTTTCTGATTCAGCAATGAATATGTTTAGTAATCATTATTATTACTGACTATGTATGTCTCTAAAAACAATTCACCCTTTTTACATGATTGGTCTCCAATGCAGGAGCACGAGACTCTCTTTAATTTACCGCAAAGGCCAATGGCGGATTAGGTTTCTAAACTCTACGCCTAGGGGCCATCCATAAAGTACGTCACACGAATGTCATGATTTTTTTACCCCTCCCCCGTCCTTGTCACAGGTGGTCACATTTCTAAGACCCCCCCCCCCCCTCCGTAGTGTGACGTCACATGTTTTGCAATTTCACATCGAAAAATTATTAAATTAACAAAAAAAATAGCAACAAATAGAAACAATAAAATCACGCGCGAGGTACGGTGCGTTTGGCAGCNAAATTAACAAAAAAAATAGCAACAAATAGAAACAATAAAATCACGCGCGAGGTACGGTGCGTTTGGCAGCATTATAGGCCAGTAGAATTAGATTTTAAATCTGAAATAATTCCTACAAAAGATTTTATTGATTTAATGTCTTCATTGGTTGCCCATTAACTCTCCTAGGTTTTCGACTTCGACGGAGTTGTGCTTAAGTGGTGGGGGTATTTTTTAGTATAATTTATATTTCAAATTACGCGATTAGTACCTCTAGATATATTAGATTTTGAAATGTGATGTCACGAAACTTAGGACCCCTCCCACCCCTTGTCACACCATGTCACACTTTGTCGACCCCCTCCCCCCCTCTTTACGTGTGACGTACTTTATGGATGACCCCCTAGGCTCCTGGCTACACGGGTTTTTCGAAATAAGTAATGTACGGGAATTATTATTTTATAGGCCTTTTTTTGACTATTAAAAGAACAGGATCTAAGTTAGACCTTTACACTTTACCGTCGAAATTATTTGAATATAAATGGATGTTTTGATGCCTCGACTCAGACACAACTGTATAGGTATTACTTTATAATAATACCTACATAACTAGTGTCTGAGTATTATGCTATAAAACCAGTATTGGAACATTATTTTTAGTTGCGAGTATAAATATGAGGATTTTATTATTACTGTCGCATTTTAGAACAGCAAACGCATTGTGAAGGTACTGAAGAATAATCATCATGACTGAAACTTTAGGTGAGTTAAATCCTAACAGATTCAATGTTATCTTTTGATTTCCGGGTTACCTATATTTCAAGTTTTTCCTACTGTTATGACTGTAATATTCCTTATTCGCTAATAACAGCGAGAAGAGTTATTAAATTGCGACTCTACAAAAATAAAAGTGAGCTGACAGTCTCAGCAGCGGTGTCAGTAACAAAATGTTAGAGATCGACTAAAACTGCTGACACGAAGTCGCCACTTTGTTAGAGGCGTTAGAGCATCTTCAGAAGATAAAAAACTTAGCTACTTTGTTTTTTGTATAAAACTTAAATCCAAAATCACTCCTCATCTTACAGAAGTGACCACAGAAAGCAACCAGCAGTACAAGTTCTACCCAGTAGCATCTGGTTCAATTCGTTTTGAAGTGAAGACCTGGAAGGATGCCCACCTGGTGCTCACAAGCGGCCCTAAAGAAACTGATCCCAGATACGAGGTAAGAATGTTTTAGAGATTTTAATCAGTTATTATAGAATAATACCATTTTAAAGAACTTAAAGATCATAATATTAAGTGCTATTAACATTCATTAGTGGAGCTGGAGAACTACTCATTATATTATCGGAATTTGATAATGTCTAAAAATGCGCAGCTGAGTATTACTACTCTTTTTGCAAAAAATCATTGGTATTATCCGTCTTGTATTAATATAAAAGCTTGTAAAAATGCGAAAGTAACTCTGTTTTCTTCACACTCTTAAATAAAAAGAAGAATGCCTATTATGTTGATAGAGATAGTTTGAGACCCAGGAAAAACATAAAATAGTTTTTATTTCGGTTTTCGTAAGGGAGAAACGTGGCAGAAATTAATTCACGCCAGCAACAATAGCTTTGCTACCGCCTAAACGACAGTTTATTAATACCAATAATGTTGGGTTCTTGTACCATCTTACTTTAACTTTAACAATCGTCAAAAGTCCGTGAAACTCCTATACAAAAACACCGATTATTATTAAAGTTACGGTTAAAGTAAGATGGTGGAACTCAGCCTAGAGTTTAACTTTTTCAGATCATAATAGGCGGATGGGAAAACACCAAGAGTGTAATAAGAAAGAAAGGAAAAAATCCAGATCAAAAGGAGATTCAAACCCCCGGGATCCTAACAGACAAGGAGTTCAGGCGTTTTTCTATTCGTTGGGATGGAAATACGGTGCAAGTCCACCAATATACAGAAGGACAATCGCAACCTAGGAAGTTAATGGAGTTTAAAGACCCTGACCGCTTCCCCATAACATTCGTAGGGGTAGGCACAGGATGGGGTGCTAGTGGTACTTGGAAATTTGAAGGTATGCAAAAATTTGTTGGTAGATTTATAGAACTTCTATTTCCAAAATGATTTTATTTATTGTTTACGAAAACTAACTGCTGAAAATTTGGTTGGTAGCAGTTACGTAAGTGTAGGAGTCTATGAAAGCCAAATTATTATTTTTTTCACATTACCATACTTTTTCAGTAGGATCAACTAGGTATGTTATGTAGTGAATGTTCATAACGTGTTTATAACTTATTGTACACTAGATTACCGAGCTAGACGATTAGATTAGCTAAAATAGAAAATAAGGTATAGTAATACACATTTCAATTTGAAATAATCATTAAACAAACAAACAAACACACTAACAAAGTGTTTTGTTGTAAATTCGTATGTGTCTTTAAAACTACTTAACCGATTCTGAGAATACTCGTCACCTGTATTACCTAGTAAAGCCAAAAATTCCCTCAAAACAAAGCCTTGTTTGGACGCAGCCGCCTCCAAAGTTGTATTTTTAAAAAGTTGCACCGCGGCATGAGAACAACAGATTATAAAATTGCTATATTACAGATGGGACTGAAGTCTTCACCCCGGACAGCAAGGATAAGTTACAGTACAAGTATGCGCCGGTTTCGACGGGGTACCTACATTTCGTGTACCGTGGGCCCCATAACGCCCACGTCTGCCTCACGAGCGGGCCCAGGGAGACAGACCCCATGTACGAAATCAATTTCGGTGGAGATGACAACATGAAGTCGGCCATTAGGTACCGTCGAAACGCGTCAGATAAGGTAAATTTAGAAACTTTTTTTTTCTATCCACAACGAGGAAGCTCTTGGCCTGTATCTCACCTGATGGTAAGTGACGATCAGGCCGAAGGTGGAAGCGAGCTTCACCTGGAATCCTCAACCACGGAGGAACTGGCTATCTTACCTCTAACTGCCGGAACACAAATGGCGACAGACTTAGGTAAGATAGTGGTAGCTAGCCAGGCGGACTTAGAACAAGCCCTACCACCAACCAAACCAAACAGAAAAATCTGCCCCCACTGGGAATCGAACCCGGGACCTCTGCGTCTGAAGCAGGTGGTCTTACCACTAGACCACAGAGGCGGTTCTAAACTAAACTGCGCAAAGCAATAAGTAATCTACCGTATTTACCAATTGCTATAATATTTATTTATTGGAAAGGTAAACCAAGTCAAGTTGAAGACTATTCAGAAATGGGCCTACTTATAGTATTTGAATTTTAACATCCGTGGTCCAGTGAGTAAATCTGTCTTAGCTTAGAAGTTTCTGGTTCGATTTCTAGGAAACACACCTACGCCCGTATTCATAAACGATGCTTGCTTAAGTAAAGCAGCAAATCGAACGCACAGCATTGAATAGAGTTCTGTGATTGGTTCATTTGTTATCCTGTGCGTCCACGCGCACTGTGAGACCTCATAGTAATGTTTGTGAATACGGGCGTTAGTATACAATCATTTCGTGNTTCTAAAATAGCTGATATTCCAGTTAGGGCTTTCTATTTAAGTAAAATGCCGTCATGGTGACTTTTACCTGTTTGGAGGTCACCTCAGTTGTTACAAGCCATACGAAAAAAATAGAGTCGTTATTACTTTTCTCACACAGCCCTACATGGCTTTAAATTTTATTATTCATTGAGTAATTAAATCTTCAACTAGGTACTAAATCTGTAAATATTTCAGGTGACGCTATCGACCCCTGGACTGATGGACCCCTCGACGGACAAGGAGTTTTTGATCGACTGGTCATACAACAGGGTGGTGGTCCGCGAGGTGCCGTCATCAGGAAATTCTCCTCCTTCAGAGCTGATGGAATGGGAGAGCACTGCGGCGTTCCCCATCACGCACTTCGGGCTGCGGACAGGGGACGGCGCACGCGGCCATTGGCGTGTCCGCTTTTACTGGACCGGCGACGCTTTCCTTAGACCTGGCAAGGGGAATGCTTAGTTTCCAGAAGTTCAAATGCCGTACAAACGAAGATCAAGCTAAACTCCGTCTTATAAAGTTGTAATAGTGTAGAATTTGCTACAAAATTTAGTCTGATATGCTCGAGTATACCTGTTAAGGCGGTTTTGATTCATTTTTAATCAAATATACAATATTCACCTCTGAATCACACTGAAACAGTCTTTCGAGCAAAAGATACAGCATTTTTCAAAATATTAATGTGTAATGTACTTAATAAAGACTTTTACTATAAAACTCGTGTAAATGCACAGAAGAGAAGTTGAACAGATTTTTTTTTATCTCAATTTGATTTTTCTACTTTAAACTTAGGGGTTCCGGGTTACTATTATTGTCTCAGATAGCACACGACCCTTGTACTTTGTAATCGAGTTCATTAACTAATTCTAAGCTATCCTAACGACGCTTAAAAAAGCATCAAATAATTAATTACAAACAAACCATTAAATAGCGTAATTAGTGTTAAAAACAGATATGAATTACAAATAAAGATTGTTTACATATTTAAGATTGTCTAATTTATTCATTTTAAATATTTTTTTAATTAAGTAAACGAGATATTACAAAAACCTAACCCTCTTTCTGGCGCAGTTGGACAAAAACAACTGAAAATACTCATGAAACTTAACAACTTCCCCCAAGGAACTTCAAGGAATCTTCAAAATGATAATACTAAAAGTATGAAAAATTTAATAAATTAGCAGATACTCTTAACTATACTACTAATATTATGCTACTAATTTATACGAACTGTAACAAACTGAATTTCACGCAGACGAAGCCTAGTAATACACAGGACCATTGGACGAATCTGGACCGCAAGGAAAAAGGGTCGGGAAAATCTTCCGTATCTTCAAAACTGTAGCTTTATGAAACTAAACATACATAATAATATTGGGAGAACTACGCATTTTTATTTATTTTACATTTAATAAAAATAAAAAAACTTGAATTAATTTGGTCTCTATTTAATTTTTTATAGCTAGGTCAGGTACTTTGAAGTTATTGAAGATTTTCTAACAGACTCTTTTTCTTTGCATTCCAGTGTAGGTAAGTATTGGATCGCATATCACCGATAGTCTACTAACTAGGTGGTAGGTAAGTAGGTAAGTACTACTTAAGTGTCTCTGTCCTGAAACACAATACATGAATGTAAGAAAATAAAGAGTAAGTAGTCTTTCTTTACTACACCAATTTATCGATCTAATTCGGATATCAAATTGCAGACTTCGATTAACAGTTACATTTTTGCAGATGTTTCCAGACCGGCAATTATAATATCGCTCGATCACTTTAATAGTTAAGTAGCCGCTTTGATATGAGTCACCCATTCCACCGCTGACCCTGAAAGGTGTACCCTGAAGGTCAGCTCGAGTTTATTACGTCTGTTTACAGACGCGTGGAAGTATCATGTACCTGCGACAAATACGACACACCTGTTTTTAGGTAGGTAGGTACCTTTTGGCGCATCGCATCTACTTACATGCAACCAGAATCTGGATGGCATCTAGTGATTTTTACGTTAATGCAAACAATCCAGCCGGTTTGTTGATAGCGAATTAGGTAATGAGCTCCAAAACGAAACGTTGGAAGTACCACAGTAAAGCTCACAAATAATTGTGGACCTAAACTATTGGTAACAGAACNAACAGAATATCGTTTCCAAAGTTTGTTATGACATCATCTTCAGTTACGTGTGCGCGTCGGCGCCGAGGCCGCAAGATGCGGTCGTAGGTTGCCGCCGATGCTCAGTCAGTTCTGTGCCGGGGCTTGAACCGAGTAAACGTGCTTAAGAATTTTTATAGTGCAAGTTATTCCACAATCCACTACCATGGCCAACGTTATGGGTAAGTAACTTCTAATTTACATAATTATTATAATTTTAGTAGAGACAGAGGAGTCCGGCGGGAGTTGAATTTCATAGTTGTTTACGTCTTGTGTATTGACGCCTGAATATTTTTACTTCGGTTACTGGTAAATAGAATAGGTATTACATTTTCTAGTTGTTTAGTAACTATGCGAAGTGTTATTTGACAGGCGAACGACCGCAAAATAACCGGCATTTTTCTGGCGCAAGGCCAAAATCCGGGCGTGGTAGACCCGCATAGAAAATACTTTAGAATCGATAAATAATTCACTTTCTTTGCTATGATGCATTACTTCTGCGCAGCGTTATTTTTAAAAGTGCGTTTTAAATAAAATTTCCACTACTATTGAGTTAAACCGCGTTTGAGCTATAGGATTAAGCAATTGATATTAGTCAGATTTTATTAAAGAGCAGTGACAGTCGTCTTAAATAAGATAAACATGACATCATCAGTCCTAGGCTCGCGGTACTACTATGTATACACGATCAAGGGCAAACCTCGCTTAGTTTGTTTGACCATTGTTATTGAATCAGCAGACCTTTAAATTTTCAACAAGGTAGGTATGAATGACATATTTGGGTTATGCATTCTGTATCATAGGTCAACCATTACATCATACATACAGACTTGCAGATTGACTTTAATTGGGCTAATGATTGCACGCTCAGAAAACAGTAAAGGTATAAAACATGTACTTTTCTTACATCATTTTGTATTTCGGATAGCTTTTAAAGATTTCATTTCACTTGTAGGGTAGAGCAAAAGTAGGTTGACTGATAACCTGAGAGTTAACTTTGTAGTTAGTTCAAATAAAGGAACATTGATAAATTGTATGTTTTATCGGTTGATAAACGGTTTGTTTAAGTGGTGAAATTTTAAAATAAGATTGACGAAAGCTAGTTACGAGTAAGTAATAAAAAATGGCCGAAACGAGGAAAACTTGGAAGAAGTCGAAGGTTGCTATGTAGATAAACAACTTGATGTTATTGTATTTACTAACACACTGTTACCTATTGAAAACCAAAAGATCGTAAGTAGTTTCAATGAAAGTAAAAGTATCTGATGCGCCGATATTAGTGATAATATTTCAGAAGTTCTAGGAGACCTATTGTAGTAAGAATTTCATGCAATTTATATGATTACTTAGTCAAATCCAGCCAGTGGGGCTGAGTCTATGTTGATATCTTTAATTAAGTTGAGAAACTGGTGGGTAGGTAAGAAGCACTTAAAGGTGTGCCTAACTATCTCATAATAAAATCGTATTAATATACTACTTATAATATTTTAAGTCAGTGCAAAAACAACTAGGGATGTTAAGTTGTTCTTGCACGTGGGTGCTCGTTCTACCTAAATAAAGTCTGTAGACCATGTCGTTAGTGGAGATAAAAGTCATTCTAATCGATAAAGTAGGTAGGTAATCATAGTGAACCATGACATAATGCCGACTATATTCTGAGATATAACGTTAGTTAATTTGTATTAATTAAAATTAAAATTAGTAACACATGGTATGTTGCTATTCTATCATAGCTCCGCAAATAAGTATGACCTAGTAGGTTCGTAATAATCAGTGAGATGTCATATTATGATTCAAATGTATGTTACTGATTCATACATTATAGTATGGATCACTTACTACATAAAAACAAGCAAATCAACACGCCATGTTTTTCCATTTCATTTGACCTCTACTTACACAAACAAACAATGTCTGGAATGGTTTGTCATCAGCAATGACGTCGTTAAACTGTTAAAAACTAATTTTAGAAATTAAACAATAAATAAAAATATGTAATAGATAATTGTCGGCCGTTTGGTGTAGTGGTTCGGAACGGACTACTATGCCGAGAGGTCCCGGGTTCGATTCCCAGCCGGGCAGAAATTTAAATGATGAATTTTAATTTCTGTGTTGGGTCTGGGTGTTACTATGTATAATATGTATATACAAAAAAAAAGTATTTAAGTATGTTTATATCCGTTGTCTAGTACCCATATTAGTACAAGCTTAATGCTTAGTTTGGGACTAGAAGCATAGTGTAAAATGTCCAAGAATATTATATTTATATCCTTAATACTTTTTTTGTAATTAACAGTACCTAAGTGGTGTTATATTATAACTTAGGTACCACTTTAAAAATAGGATTAAGGGAGTAATTAAATTACACCGATTAATAATTAAATATTACCCAACATCATAATAATACGAGCGCCTGTTTTTACATATGTTCGTAGCTACATGTGTCAATTAGCCACACATTATCTTAGTAACAACAATTTTAGATTTACATTTCTGAATATCGTAAAATATGTAATACATTACTTAGATAATGAGGCGTAACCTTGGGCGAACATTCGTCCAAGGGCGTAACTAAACCAGAATTGTATGTCTGGGAACGGCTAAAACGTAGTAGGGACTATTGATTCTGTCTGAGTTGCGAAAGGTCACCCACGGCAATCATTTGATAGGATGACATCACCTCGCCGCGTCTGAACGATCGCGCTACAACTGTTTGTGACGACGCATCTATCATTGATCGGTCTTCGTTAAGGTCTTCGTCATAATCTATGTCAAGAATAACTCGTCATGTTGAAAATAAGTCATCTCAACGTGCTAATGTAAGAGATGTATTAGGTATAGCTGTGAATATAGCTACCGCAAGAGTAAATAATATAAACAACGCTCAAAGCTGCTCGAATTTAAATAGAGTTTTGAGCCTCATTTCAGAATAAATATATCCTCCGAACAATAGCGTAAACTTCTCTGAAATGCAGGATTCTAATTTTTCTCGACTATCTTTGATATTGGTCGGGTATTGGTTTCGTTACTAAGCGGCAATGGAAGCGATACAACGGCAATTTCGTCGATTTACTTTTGGTGCGAGGGCACAAAGTAGCTCGCATACCAACGCACGAGCTAGCCTATATTTAGACTGGCTGTTAGGAGACCTGCCCCGAATGGAAAGCAAGCACTCTAAACTCAGAAAGGCGACTCGAATCGACGCCCACTGCATATAAATTACATTCCAAGACGCATTTAAACTGGCGATTTACAAAAAAAATTTAGTTAGCAACAACAATTTAAGCATTAAGAATGTAAGATCATTAATAATTTAACATCATTTTAAATTGAATTTTCAGATGTACAGACTGAAGACAACTTGCAGTACCATTTCTTCCCGGTTTCGTGCGGTTCGGTACAGTTCAAAGTTCGGACCTCCAATGACGCTCATGTGGCGCTTACTATGGGACCCCAGGAATCCGACCCTATGTATGAGGTAATTTACCACGGCTCTTCGAACTCAAAAATTTTGTTTATTCAGGTTTAAGGTACCTACATGATAAACTACTTATTATGAAACAAATTGAAACGCTAAAAATAGAAATCTACTCATATCTAAATGTATATTTAAAGAAGAAACTGTAGTA